CCACGCTTGGCGCCGTGAAAACGCAGCCGCGATGACGTTCTTTGATCGAAAGACGCGAAGGAGACTGAGACTGAGAGTGAGATGCCTTGACTCTTGCGCTTTATCAACCTGTCGCCGGGCTCCATGGCAGTTGCAAAGACAAAGATGTGAGCAGCGGGACCCAAGTATCGTCACCGGCGCTATCAGGCTCCTCGTTGCTGCGGCACAGTCAATTCAGATGGCGGCGGATTACTGGGCTTCGACCCAACATGCATCGTGGCTATTCGATCGGGAAGAGCTGGCTGATGCCAGAAAGGCCCTTGGGGACGCAGAGCGACCGTTCATTCAGCAGTACCCGCTGCCCGACCAGCGGCATTTTAACATCTTCGTGAATCTACGTAGGTACTTTGCTTTTGCAGACCGAAATGGAGCGTTCCGAAAGCTGACTCGGATCATGATACTCAGAATTGCTCAGATTAGCAAAACGCCTTAACATGCGGCAGCAACCGGTCGCCACGGCTCAGGTTTACGTGAAGCGGTTTTATACCAAGGTCGAAATCCGCCGGACGAATCCATATCTGCTGCTTACGACGGCATTTTACCTCGCGTGTAAGATAGAAGAATGCCCTCAGCACATCCGGTTCGTGCTTTCAGAAGCCAAGAACCTATGGCCGGGTTTGTTTGCTCTATTCCTGTCCTGTTAGAATTGAGCTGTGTGGCTGACCAAAATGTAGAGTTCATCGCCCCTGACGGCGCGAAAATCGGAGAATGCGAGTTCTGGCTTATATCGGAAATGAACTCGCAGTTGATAGTGCACCATCCGTACCGGACGCTCTTAGAACTCAAGAGCTTGCTCTCTTTAACATCAGACGAAACGACCTTGGCCTGGTCGGTCATCAACGACCACTATCTAACGGATCTTCCACTCCTGCATGCTCCGCACGTCATCGCAGTGATGGCGGTTTTCATTGCAGTGGTCTTCAAGCCAAACCAACACCCAGTTACGGTTCCTTCAGGAGGATCTTCGGTAACCGGGGCCCTGAGAGACGGCAGTTCAAACATCCTTTCGGCCCTGAGCGAGACCAAGACCGGTGTTGGGATGCCGGCACGGGTCCAGAGGATTGTGGACTGGCTAGCCAACAGCGAAGTGGATATCGAGGCAGTTATTGAGTGCACGCAA